AAAGACTGATCTGGAACACTGCAGAATTGAATAGCTTTTGGCAAAAAGGCAGCTTAAGGCTTGTGCTTGCATGCTGAACTAAGAAAGAAAGAAAGAAATGAAGTGAAGTGAAGTGAAAAAAGAAAGTTAATAAGTTAATAGGAGAGATGAACCTTGAAAGAAGAAGGATCAGCATGGCCAGAGAGAGGCATGCCTGGAAGCTGCCTCCCTTTCCCCAGTGCTGGTGAGAATCTGCAACCACATGGCCACCACTATTTTTCTGGCCATCTCACTGCACGTGGTCCAGTCGGAGAACCTGAAGAACAGGACATCCAGCAATACCGCTGAAATAAATTGCAACACACTTTTAGCAGAGCAGAGAGGGTAGATCCTCTGAGAAACAATTCACTGCCGTGAAATTAAGGGGGTAAAGAGAGAGACAATGGCATTCAATCTGAAACTCTATTGACGCACTAACAAAGAATGTCCCTTAGCGGCTATGCCCAGAAAAGGGCTAGCAATCCACTCAGACTGTAAAGATTCTTCCTCCTCCTCTCTCTCCACACTAGAAGACATTTAGAGAGAGAGGGTCTTGCTTATAAGGGAATTCATCAGTGAGGAGGGATAGAACTTTCTGCCCATATGCCCTACAGGAATTCAATCCCCCCTCAGAGATGGAGTAACAAAACTCAAGATCCCAGGAAACAGTTTTCCCATTCTTGTACCTATGCTTCAAGGCTTGTTAGGACATGTATCTACTTCCTCAACAGTTTCCAGTTGTTAGAAAGTGGTAGTTATGAGCCAGCCCACCAAAAGGCTCTCAGCCACTGGGACTGGCCACGCAGCCTGGACAGTGAATCCAACAGAGCAGAGGAGGCATATCCTCCCTCTCAGGATAGCTTGCAAGGCCAGGAATTGGTCCACTGTATCCTGCCTAAAACTGGGTGTCTCTAGGCCAAAGGATCGTGCCCTTAGAGGACTCGCGCAGAAGCACATTTCCAATGTTATTAAAGTTTTGTCAGATATTCCAGAAGTCAGTGTAAAGTGTATTTCTCATAAGTAGGTAAGCAACTAAGTAAGTATAATTATACAGATTACATGTCCCCCCCCAAAAAAATCTGGGTACTCATAAATACTTTAGAATGTTTTTCTTAATACTTAGTTTCTAAGAGTTTCAGGAAATGATATATCAAATTATGTAAACAATGATAATTTAAATGGTATAGAGATTATTTTTGAAAATCTGCAAATAGTTCATGTCCAGTTAAGGATTTAAAAATACATATGAATTATTGTAATAATAGCTTATCATACAATCCAGCTAAATATATTCTTATCCATTAGTCATACCCACTTATATCATTTGTGTCTATCACTCATGATAAAGACAAAACCATAGCTAATGTAAAAAAATGTTGTTTTGTTCTGGATTCTCCCTCCATATACTATCCATCATCTAGAGCAGGAAAGATCTAACAACTTTCCTTCTTTTAACCTCTGCAGCATTTTTTCCTTCTGTAGTTTTTCCTGCAACATTGCCCCATTAAATCAAAAAGTGTTTAGCACTACAGTGTATACATATTGAATGTACAAAGTTCTCGCAGTCGTACTCATAGTGAGATGCTGGAATAGTTTGCAAATACAGTATCCGCATGGAATATTCTTATGTATTTTCTGGATTGATTTGTTAGAGACATCCCATAAAATACAAAGGAATTGGGTAACCAGGAGTGATACTGCAATTGCTGAAAGGTTAACCATCCCTTGCATTTCAGTTGGACTTTGGTCTTCGAGTGATATTACGATTGCTGAAAGGTTAACCATCCCTTTAACTGCATAGCATGGCAGTCGTGTCTAGCCTCCACCCTTTACGATTGCTGAAAGGTTAACCATCCCTTTAACTGCATAGCATGGCAGTCGTGTCTAGCCTCCACCCTTGTGGCAAAATCCATTATGACAAGTGGATTTAGTGATGTCATAGTTGTGGAAATGGTTTTTAAAAAAAAAATAAAATAAAATAAAGGGTTTTTTTTTTTACATTTGGCATCCCAATCTCCCTGAATTGTAGCTCATTTCATATGTAGCTCAATCATCCCTTCAACTGCATGGCATGGCAGTCGTGTCTAGCCTCCACCCTTGTGGCAAAATCCATTATGACAAGTGGATTTAGTGATGTCATAGTTGTGGAAATGGTTTTTAAAAAAAAAATAAAATAAAATAAAGGGTTTTTTTTTTTACATTTGGCATCCCAATCTCCCTGAATTGTAGCTCATTTCATATGTAGCTCAATTATCTCCTTTTCTGCAAAACTTATTTCCCATAGTGGCAGCTGGTAGGCAGGATGAAAGGAGTTTGCTCTCCAGAGCTTCATCAACTGTAAAAACGAGGATGGAAAATATACGGACAACTACTCAAGTCTGACTCTGGACCTGATCACGCAAGGCTTCTAACTGTACTTTCCATACCTCTGTTGTATTGAATCACGGTTACATGGTATATATACAGCCACAGTTGTTCCAGTGTGTTTTAATATTACTGATTCATTTTCTCCTATTTGAATTGTTATAACCAGCTACACCATGGTATTGATTTATTTTCTTTCTTGTTTTCTAGAGCACTGCAGCCCCTTACTTTAAATTTTTTTACCAATACATCAATATGTCAGGAAGGGGTTCCTGTTTGGTGATTTTTCTTCTGTTGCAACAATGCCTCTGGAAGAACTGCAGTGCACTCAATGGACCTGGGAACCCCAGCCAGGGCTCTTGTCGCTTTACCAGACAGTAGGTGGAGTGATGAAACACCTACCAGTGCCCTGGCATACCTGGCCATTGACATATGTTTGCCTATACTGTATATCGACATACCAGCTACAATTGTTTTTTTAAAAAAAACCCACAACATTATAGCAGGGCAGCCACGTGGCAGTAATGATGGCTGCCTTCCCTGGTGACTTGGCTTCTTAAAGAATTGATAGGGTCATGCACACATGTAATAACTCAAAGGAATATATTGAAACACCATTGGAACAAAATAACAGAAGCCTCCTAATGAGTGGGAAATAAACTGCAGTTTCACCACTTAATGATTCGATAATGGCTGTGTCTCATGTGACCAGAAATTTCTACAACAATCTAAGAGGGTTATAACTTTTCACATGCCTCATGTGATCATGCCTTATGACACTCCAGCTGATGTACGCCATGACTGGCTTTCTGGTCTCATGTGTTGGACTGATGGTCTGCTTATCACCATGGCAAAAGTGAGGAGAACAAGAGAGAAAACTTGGTCAGGAGGTCTGTCACTTACAAACTTTAAGCAGCTTCCAGCAGTCGTGCTCCATGGTTACACTTACGTTTCCTGCCTCCCAGTCAGTGTCTCTTGTCTTTCTCAAGGATGCAGAAAGGGACACAAAACAGAAGGCAAACAGCTATATATACAACCACAGGCATTAGACTAGCCTGCCTGTCTGGTTCTGGGCTGTGGAACAGGTGTGCATTTATACGTAAAGTGAGAGAAAGAGAAATGCTCTCTTGCCTATCCACTTAGTTTGGTATCTTTTTTTTTTTTTTTTTTTTTTTT